TGTACATAGTTACCATTCAATAAAAAAAAAAAAAAAGAATAAAATACTTGGCAATAAATTTAAGGAAGAAGATGAAAGATCTGTATACTGATCTAAAAGGCTAGAAGACATACGAAAGAAAGTGAGGAAGACCTAAGGAAATACAAAGATATCCTGCATTTATGGACTGGAAGAATTAATATTGTTATAATGATCTAATGCAATCCCCATCAAAATTCCAATGGCTGCACTCCAGCCTAACCAACATAGAGACCCCCATATCTTTAAATAAAATTCCAATGGGATTTTTCACAGAAAAAGAAAAAAAAACAATATTCATATGGAACCCAAAGAAATCTAGAACAAACCTAGAAGTATCACCCTTCCTGATTTCAAACTATGTTACAAAGCTATAGTAATCATAACAGTATAATGGCATAAAAGCAGACACATACACCAAAGGCACAGAATAGAGAGCCTAGAAATCAACCCCCACACACATGATCAACTAATCTTTAAAAGGGTGACAAGTATACAACATAAGTAACAGCAATGTTCTGTATCTTGACTGTGATTTTTAAAAAACAGTAAGTATTTGTTAAAACTCAGAGAAGTATAGACTAAAAAAAGTACACTTTATTGTATATAAATTATACCACAACAATACTGCATGATCTCACTTATGTGTGGAACTTAAAAATTTTAATTTTATAGAAGCGGAGAGTAGAATAGTGATTGCCAGAGGGGAAATGCGAAAATGTGGGTCAAATGATACAAACTTTCAGTGATGAATAAATTCCAGAGATCTAATGAATATCATGAGACCATAGGTCACAATACTATATTGTTTACTAGAAATTTGTGAAATTTGCTAAAAGAGCAGATCTGGGGGACCTTATCACACAAAAACACAAAAATAGTTAAGTATGTGTAGTGAAGAGTAAGTTCATTAATTTATTATAGTATTTTTTATACAATGTGTGTATTTAATATGTAGGAGACTACAAAAAGTTTTGAAACAGACTGTGTAATGGTCCACTATTTCACTTCTAAGAAACTCAGTTGACAGCACGAGTGTAAGTTTCAACTTGCTCGGCTTACTGGTGTTGCTGGGAGGGCTTTATTTGTTTATACCTGCATGAATTTTACATTTCTTTATTTCTGTGTATCTCAAAACTTTCATAATGACCACTAATATATATCTCCAATCATTGTACTGTATACTTTACCTTGAATATATATAATTTTAATTTGTTGATTATAGTTCAATAAAGCTGGAAAAATAAAACTTTTAAAGAAAGAAGCTGAAAAAACAAAAGCCTGTAAATGTTTGTCCCTGTAATTAATGTCTCTCTGAACCAAAAATAAGAATGGCTCATAGGGAAATCTAAATAAGAAAATCGGTAAGACTCAAGCTTTAACTGATTGCTCAGAAAATACAGGCTAGGCTTTCAGGCTAAAAATAAGCTATAAGCTTTAATTTGAGCATATGTAAAAATGGAATGGAGATTTTTATGTCACATAAAAATCACCAGAGGCAAACAAAAGTTCATTTTCACTTTAATTCTTATAAGCTCTGACAATTAAGTTTGTGAACTTGCCATCACATGCTTACGTTGGCAGCACTATACAAACAACTCAGTAAGGTTTCATAATCTTGGGATGTCTGCGGCTCATAGCTGTGTTCATGTCAACATGTGGCAGTATCTTGCTGAGTGCCATTCATCATTGTTGCCATATTTTTGTGTGTCACCCTGAGAATGTCAGAGCTTGAATTAAAGAAATAAAAAAAAAACCCATTAAATTTCTTGTTAAACTTGGCCAAGAGTGGAAGTAAAATAAGGGACACATTAGTCCATGTCTATGAAGATAACGCCATGAAGAAAATGGCACTGTAAAAATGGATTAAATGTTTTCTGAGGGGAGAGAAAGTGTCACTGGTGAAGAGAGGTCAAGGCAGCAGACCTGATGGAACATTGCAAACATTCAAGGATTTGTATGTCAAGATCATCATCTGACTGTGAGAAGCACAGCAGATCAAGTAAAGACTGATAGAAAAACAATTAGGAAAATCTTTGTTTTTGAAACAAAGTCTCACTTTGTTGCCCTTGGTACAGTGCTGTGGAGTCATAGCTCACAGCAAGCTCCAACTCTTGGGGTCAAGTCATCCTCTTGCCTCAGCTTCCCAAGTAGCTGGGACTACAAGGAGCCCACCACAATGCCAGCTATTTTTTAGAGACGAGGTCTTACTCTGGCTCAGGCTGATCTCAAACCTGTAAGCTCAGGCAATCCACCACCTCGGCCTCCCAGAGTGCTAAGATTAGGAAAATCTTAATTAAAAATCTTGGCCTGAGAAAGGTGTGGCTCTTGTATCACAACAATGCACCAGCTTACATGGTGTGCCCCTGAGGGAATTTTTAGCCAGTAAACAAATATCTGTATTGGAACACCCTCCCTATTCACTTAATCTGGCCTCCAGTGACTTTGTTCTTTACCTAAAGATAAAGGATATATTGACAAGTAACATTTTGATGACATTCAGAATATCAAGGGTGATACTGATAGCCAATGATATTGATAGCCAATGATGACAGCCATTCCAAAAAAGAATTCCAAAATTATTTTGAAGGGTGGATAAGGCACTGTCATTGGTGCATAGCTTCCCAAGGGGAGCACTTTGAAGGTGACCAAAGTGATATTCAGCAATGAACTATGTAGCACTTTTTCTAGGATGAATTCACGAACTTTATCATCAGACCTCATATACTTAAGAATCTTGAAAATAGTAAGAGTGATATATTCTATTTAATACAAATCCCTTCTATTTGTACATTTGTTTAAAGGTTGTTTTTCTAATGTTTGGTTGAATTTTATTCACTATTTGTATACTACATTCTAATCTGGCTTCCTGGAGTTAAATTACTATGCTATGAAATTGTATCTCAGATTCATTATAATTTCTGTTTACTACAGAAAAATAAATTGACTTTGGTCTTTTGCTTTCCATTTTTGTATTCAGAGAAATATTTAACATGTACTAAATAGCACTGCAAAGGAATCATAATAGATTTAAAATAAAATTCAACTAACTAAACATGTAATGTTGATTTGCATCAATCTTTCAAGGCTTTTTCATTATATTAACCTTTCATTTGTACCTACAGTCACAACAAATATGCTCATATGTACAAATGATATTTACAAAATAATTCTTTGAAGAATTAAATTTAGAAAAGACCTGAAAATTTAATTCTCAAATAATTTAATTAAATCATTTAAACCTTAAAATTAAACATTCCATCAGAAGGCAGAGGCCAAAATTCTTCTTTACATACCACAAACTACCCAAGTCAATCTTCTTACGATGTGTATTTTCCTACAAAACTGCAATAAGCAAAGCACGTCATCACAAAGATCCATTTAAGAGAGACTTGGTATCTAAAACCAGCTTTAGGGTAGAGAAGTAGTAAGGACAGAATTAATTAGCATTTGGTCTAATGGGTCAAAGTGGCCTGACTGCAAGTTAGACCATTTAAAAAATACCAAAAGGACCACCTAACGTACAGCCTAATCACTCAACACTCCTTGAATTCCATGCTATCATATTTCTATAGATTCATTACAGCTAAAATGATTCCAAGAAATTGATAGATTTTATTTGTAATTTCATTTCACAGAACAATTTTTCAAAATCATTATAATATTCTGATGTTAATAGACATGAATCTCTGGTTTGTATGGGGTAATTCTTTTCCTCTTCACAGTGGTAGGTTGTGCTAATACAGCAATTTTTATTTTATTGTTCACTATTGAGACAGAAATTGTCATCAGAATCCTACTGGGAATACAGACTTTTAAATAGGCCTAAGGATAAGTTTCACTATATTTATAATGATTATCAAATACATTTTGTTCTGCATGAATACACCAGAACCAAAACGTTTTCTTTTCTATGGAAGATAAACTGCACATTATTTAGCAATGTGTAAATAGGAGAAAGAAATTTAGTGAGGCAGATCTCAGGTTGTTCTTTCTAGCAATTAAATGGCATGTTTTTATCGAAAACTTGCTAACCTTTAATTAGAAATCCTAAAAAGGTACTATTTTAAAGTTTTTTTTTTTTGAAACAGTCTGCGGCTGTCACCCTAGGTAGAGTGCTCTGACTTCACAGCTCACAGCAACCTCAAACTCTTTGGCTCAAACGATTCTCTTACCTCAGCCTCCCAAGTACCTGGAATTACAGGCACCCGCCACAATGCCCAGTCTTTTTTCTGTTGCAGCTGTCATTGTTGTTTTAGCTGGCCTGGGCCAGGTTCGAACCCACCACCCTCGGTGCATGTGGTCGGCGCCGTAACCAAGCCTATTTTAAAGTTTTTAATGTTTGATTTAAAAACATGACTGCCAGCCTCAGCATGAGTTTCAATGTACTATAGTGCAAAACTGCGAGTTCTGGGCACAGGTGTGGTGGCTCACACTTGTAATCCTAGCATTCTGGGTGGCCGAAGCAGGTGGATTGCTTGAGGTCATGAGTTTTAGACTAGCATGAGCAAAAGCAAGACCCCTATCTCTACTAAAAATAGAAAAACTGAGGCAAGAGGATCTCTTAAACCCTAGTTGGAAGTTGCTGTGAGCTATGATGCCATGGCGACAGCTTGAGACTCTGTCTTAAAAAAACAAAAACAAAAACACAACTGTGAGCTCTCTTTCAAATACTGATTGTATATGAGTAAAATTTATAAAAAGATACTGTAAAATAATATTGGCATAAACCATTAGCTTTAGCGTTTATTAAGGGTATTAACAAGATCTCTAGAAAAACATGTTGAATAATATTTTCTGGTGATATATTTTGGTAGATAAAGTGCATTTGGCAATTACTATCCTTTGAGACCTCTGGTATTTTCCTGCTCTTAAACATGGTAGGTATCATTTACAATTTACCAGGGAGATTAACAAAAGTTCCAATTTACCATCTTAGATTATATTCTTTTATAAGGCTCAATGTAAAGGGAGAATAGTACCTTTCATGATGTCCTAAGTCCAAAAGAAATTCATCTGCATGTCTTTGGAGTTCATTTCCTTCTAAGTTCTTTAATTTCTTTAGTTCACTTTGTAGGAAAAACCAGAGCTCTTTAGCTCCATTTTCTATCCTCCTCCTCAGGATTTCATGATCCTTCCCCAAACCTGCAGTTAAAGAATACAGAATAGAAGCATTTTCAACATTTTGATAAAGGAAAGTTTTCAATTATTTGTGCTAAAGCCAATCAATATGCTGAGGGGAAAAAAACACTGTATCATCACCTACCACTTCTGGTTTGTTTCTTGTAATTTTCAATCTGTTCTTTGGCCTTAACAAGTTGCTCTTCTAAAACACGTACTCTTCCTATAGCTGGGCCCTGATCAATGGGGCCTTCTGGTATCCTGTAGTTCAGGGAAGAAAATGTAAACACTTAACTTTTAAATTATGCAACAAAATACAAGCTTACTTTGCTAAAAACATATGTATTTGATAACTCTGCAAGTCTTTGAGCCATATAACAAGAAGTACCAAGTAAAATTTTCTCCTCAAAGGTATGGATTTAACCATTAAAAAATGAAATGATGATAAACAAAAACAAAATAATAATCTAGCTCAGAAATCTATGACCTTCTAGAAGTTAAGAAACCCTTGGAGCTGTTTCCTAAAAATGCTGATCCTATTACTTAGAGTGCCACTATTAATGGCAACGTGGTCGATTAGTCGTTATCTTGGAATAACAAAAGTGAAGAAGACAGTGAAGGAAGGTTTAGAGGCAGCAAGAAACCATGTATCTGAACATGTGTCTACTCAGAATACAAAGTATTTCTAAATTACTGACAGTATCAGGCTACATAAAGCTGAGTGTTATCTCATAAATTCATGGCTTTAGATTACTAAGCATTGCCAGGCAACTGGACTGCCTAAGCTCACAGGTTTGAGACCAGCCTTAGCAAAAGTGTGACCTGGTCTCTAAAAATAGCTGGGCATTGCAGCAGGTGCCTGTAGTCCCAGCTACTTGGGAGGCTGAGATAAGAGAATCGCTTGAGCCCAAGAGTTTAACATTGCTGTGAGCTGTGACACTACAGCACTCCACCAGGGGTGACAAAGTGAGACTCTGTCTCAAAAAAAAAAAAGAGTACTAAGCACTGGTCTTATAGGGAAGAAAAAGGTAAGATTCTAAAGATGAAATATATTAGGAAAAAATTAAAGATTAATGTTCTGTTTCTATTAGCAACAAAAAATATCACTCAATAGTATAAAATATTGGCACATAGCAATGGAACTCCAAGATCTTTTGCTATATATTATCACCTATCTGTTCAACTTCTTTCCAAGAACTGTTCTTGTTTCTACCATTTTTTTTGTTTTGTTTTTCTGTGATTTTTGGCAGCATCCTATACTCCATTTTGATATTCACACATAAAATTTTGTAGTACACTAAATAATGGTTCCCCAAAAATATCCACATTCTAATCTCAGGAACCTGTGAATGTTACCTTATATGGTAAAAGCAATTTTGTGTTAAGGATTTTGAGACTGGGAGATTGTTCTGGATTATTCAGCTGTGCCATAACTGTAATAACAAGTGTCCGTTTAAGAGGGAGATTTTATTATAGAAGAGGAAAATGCTATGTGGCTCCTAGCCTTGAAGATAGAGAAAAGGGCTATGAGCAATGCATCCTTAGAAGATGGAATAGGCAAGGAAACAGATTCTATTCTAGAGCTTCTTTGTCTAGGAAATGCAGCCTTCCTCACACCTTGGTTTCATTTCAAACTTCTAGCCTCTAAAACTGTAAGAGAATAAATTTCTGTGGTCTTAAACCACCTGTGGTATTTGTACATACATATCCTTTTGCAAAAGTTGTTGTAAAAATTAAATAATTGCCAATTTTTTTTTCAAAATCTATTTAAATGAGAAAATGTCTATAGAAGTACTTAGCACACAAAAAAAGAAAGAAGTACTTAGCAGAGGGTCTGGCAATAAATTTTATAAAGGCTATTGTATCTGAGATGAGCCATTCAGAGATAAGATATAACTTCAAGACATTTGGGGTGTCTTTTCTTAAGATCCTAATCAGTTTAAGGGAATATAATTTAAAATTATAATTGGCAGAACTCAAATTAAGATATCAACACTGTCAGAGCAAAGATGCTGATATAGATTTTTATAACTTTTCTAACATTTTTATACAAACAATAAAGCAAAATTAACTGTCAATTACCTCCACTACTTCAGAATACACATTTAGTAAAGCAGCTATTGTTACAGCTATACCAGAGTAATTGGAGGCATTTTTTAATTTCATATACATTAACACTGAAGAGGAGCATAAAAAGTAACTATCTTCTAATCATATAGGATATGAATAAAAAAGCCTTTTTTTTGTATGAGCACAAAAGTGAATAATGATGAAATGAATGCAGCAGTTAGGTGCACAAGTATCCAATTTATAAATAAACATACATTCACAAATGAGGCATGTCCTGGTATATAATTTTTTAAACTTAATCTCTTCCAGAATTAGATGGCTGGTTTCTAGGAACATTTTAAAAACAGAATAAAAATTCTACTTCTTGGGAAGTATTTTGGTAGCAATATGCCATAGGACAGACACATACTTTAGTGATAGAAACCTTTAGACAGTAGAAAGATTATGTCTAGGTCCTCCATTTTTATCTCATTTCTTTACATATTAATAGAATAAATACCAGCAACAAAACAAGCATGAGAAAATAGCATATGATCTTTTCAGCAGTATTAAAGCTAATCTAATTATAATAAAACATAATGGAATTAGTGATTTATATTCATAATTATCCCTAATAATCCAATCCATCAGTGAAGAAATTATAGCTAAAGAAAAGTACCTATTGGAGGCTGGGTAACTGTAGCTCAGTGTTAGGGTGCCAGCCACATGCTTCAGGATGGTGGGTTCAAACCCAGTATGGGCCTGCTAAACAAAAAAAGTAATAACTGGGTGCTGTGGCGGGCATCTACAGTCCTAGCTACGAGGGAGGCTGAGCAAGAGAATTGCTTGAGCCCACAAGTTGGAGGCTGCTATGAGCTATGATGCTACAGCACTCTACCCAAGGGTGACAAAATGAGACTCTGTCATAATAAAAAAAAAAAAAAGAAAAGTACTGGAGAAACCAAAGCAGAACAAAATACAAGACAACTATTCTTTCTAAACCCTATCCAGAAAAGAGTCAGTCTGTATAAACAATCTCTTTTCTCAATACTCAGGGAATGGAACACTTTATTACCATACTCACTACAGAAAAGAAATGTTAAGACTTCTTCTTCTGGCCAAGATGGAGTAAAAGAGATCAGATCTACCACTCTGCCTGAGACAACTAAAAATCCAGAGAAAAGTATAAAAGAGAGCGTTTTCAAACTATGGTATATAGAGGGGTAATCCAGGTAGACCCTAGCAAATTCCCTGAGTTGAAGAAATGAAGCTAGGCTGGGCGTGCAGTGGCTCACACCTGTAATCCTAGCACTCTGGGTGGCCAAGACAGGTGAATTGCTTGAGCTCATGAGTTAGAGACTAGCCTGAACAAAAGCAAGACCCCATCTCTACTAAAAACAGGAAAAAAAAAAAAAAAAAAAACCAAGGTAAGAGAATTGCTTGAAACCAAGAATTGGAGCTTGCTGTGAGCTATGATGCCATAGCTCTATCCAGGGTGACAGCTTGAGTTTCTGTCAAAAAAAAGAAAGAAAGAAAGAAAGAAAAGAAAAGAAGCTAAATCTTAAAAAAAAAAAAAAAACAAGACAGCTAGGGTTCGATGACAGAGTACTGTAGAGGAGAAAGCTGAATAAAGAGAACTCCAGAGATCTGCAGAGGTATCACTTGAGAATTAGCAGCATTCTGATCAGCACATGCAGGTAAGGAAATTGCTCAAAGTTGGGGGAAGAATTCTGTAAAAGGATTCTTAGGGAAGTAGTACTTGATATTCATATAAGGTTGGGAGAAACTGGTTCCTGATCCAAGTTGGAAAATTTCATTTTTCAGCAATATTTGGCCTCGATAGTGGGAAAATGATCACCAGACTAAGATTATGTGAGTCCTACTTAACAATTCTTAAAAGGAAGACTCAATACAAGTCTCAAATAACTTAACTACATTACAGAACTAAGTTGAAGAATATTTGTAAGAATACAAAGTTTCTAATAACAAACAAAGTAAAATTCATGAAGTGTGAAATCCAACAAAAGTCACCAGGCTTGCAAAGAAACAGGAAAGGACAACCCATAAAGAGGAGAAAAATCAATCACAATCAACTCAAAACTGACATAGATGTTAGAATCAGCATTTAAGGAACAGTTATTATGACTATTTTATATGTTCAAAAGTTAAGAGATAGAGGACTTCTAGAGATGAAAATATAATACCCAAATGAAAAATAAATAGGATTTATTACAGATTATATTTTGCAGCTTCCACCTTAATAAAGAAAGAAAAGAAAATGAGCAAATGAAACCCCAGTTATATGGAAGAAGGGAAATAATAAGGATCAGAGAGGAAATCAGTGAAATGGAGAAAAAGAAAAACAACGGAGAAAAATCAATGAAAGTAAAAGCTGGTTCTTCAGAACAATCAGTAAGATTAACAAACTTTATCCTAAAGAGCCAAATAGTAAATATTTTAGGTTTTGCAGGCCAATCAGCAAAATAAAGGCTATTTATTACTAAGATACACAGATAATATTTCAAATGTAAGCATTTAAACATGTCAACTCACTCTTAGCTGTGAGCCATAAAAAAAGAAGTGGTTAGTAGGATTTGGTCCATGGGCCAGAGAACCCATTTTAGCCAGACTGATCACAAAACATAGAGGAAATATTTCCCAACACATTCCATGAAGCCAATATTATCCTGATACCAAAATTAGAGAGAGATAATATAAGAAAAGAAAATCACAGACTAACATCTCTCATGAACACAGATATAAAAATTCTAACATACGATCATCTGAAAAGACTCAGACAAAAGACCTGACAAAAATCCAACATCCATTCCTAATAAAAAATGTCAGTTAACTAGGAAATTAAGGTAATTTCCGCAACTTGATGATAACAAGCATTTGTGAAAAACGCCATGGTTTAATTAATAGTGACAGAATAAATATTTTTCACCTAAGATCAGACACAAAACAATGATATCCTCTCTCAGTACTTTTATTCAGTACTGTATTGGTGGCTCCAGCTAGTCCAACAAGGCAGGAAAAAGAAAAGACATCCACATTAGAAAGAAGCATAGCTATCCTTGTGTACAGATAACATGATAATCTATGTTGAAAACCTGATGGAGTTGGGGTGGCGCCTGTGAATAGGGCACCAGCCCCATATACTGAGGGACTGAGGGTGATGGGTTTGAACCCAGCCCTGGCCAAACTGAAAC